CTCATACAGTACATACCTACCTACACACATACAGTACATACCTACCTACACACATACAGTACATACCTTCCTACCTACATACAGTACATACCTACCTACCTACACACATACAGTACATACCTTCCTACCTACATACAGTACATACCTACAGTACCTTCCTGCCTACCTACCTACAGTGCATACTCTCCTACATATAGTACATACTTTCCTACCTACAGTACAAACATTCCTTCCTACCTACCTACAGTGCATACTTTTCTACATATAGTACATACATTCCTACATACAGTACATACCTTCCTGCCTACCTACCTACAGTGCATACTTTCCTACCTACAGTGCATACTTTCCTACCTACAGTACATACATTCCTTCCTACCCACCTACAGTGCATACATTCCTACATACCTACCTACAGTGCATACATTCCAACATATAGTAAATACATTCCTACATACAGTACATACCTTCCTGCCTACCTACCTACAGTGCATACTTTCCTACATATAGTACATACATTCCTACCTACAGTACATACATTCCTTCCTACCCACCTACAGTGCATACATTCCTACATACCTACCTACAGTGCATACATTCCTACGTACAGTACATACATTCCTACGTACAGTACATACATTCCTTCCTACCTACCTATCTACACCCACATTTTTTTTACTGATGTACATGTATAGTGGCAGCCATCTTGGATTTTGATGTAGCAACCCATTATTTGATGATGAAACTTCCTACATCTAACAAAGTCCATGCTCAATAATCCAGGCATACAATACATTTTTCAGTTCCTACATCTAGTTGCAGACAGCCACATATTAAAACTAAAGTTGGCACGTTGCTTATTTGTCAAGTTTTTTTCAGCTCACATAGTTAACATATATAAATATATGGTGGCAGCCATCTTGGATTTGGATTTCAGGGACTTTTATTAATCCTATGTGGATACACACCAAAATGGATGTTGCCCCCTCACTTATTTTCCCACACAGAGCTTTATCCTAACCTGCCCCTATACCAAACATTACAACAATTCCATAACATGTTGTGCTTAATTAATCTCTGGTGCTTAATTAATCCCTGGTTAATCAAATAATAGTTGTTGTTTAACAGTAGGTTATTATAAAACCGTCAAACACGAGTTTCTAAAGCTTGAAATCTGTAATTGAATTGTTCTCATCACAAATGGGCTCTAAACTAAAAAACAGGGGGTGGGGGTGGTGGTGGGGCGGGGACTGAAGTTTTCCACCTTAGAGGATGTAATGGCTGCTCAGGTAAATCAGAAGGTCTCATTTAACCTTGAGAGCAATACAAGGGTTTTGTGAGATATTTAGCTAACAGAGAGGGAAACAAACACACATACATGATCGCTCGCCTGTCATGGTGGTCAGCAATGATACAGTATCAACAGTATTCTTTATTTTAAACATCGTTTTATCCAGCGTTAATAGGGGATAAAATATTTTGATCAAGATATATTAATATATTTATTTATGTCTACGCCCTATTTCCACCAAGGAACATGCCTGAAAGTTCAGGCGTTTTTATTGCCTCTAAATAAGATTACCTTGACGGAATGGCGTATCTGTTGCTTCAGATAAGCTGCAATTAACTTGAGTGGATATCTGCGGGTGATTTGCTACCTGACATTTCCTTCAGCGGGACGGTTTTGTTTTCTCAGAAACTCTTCATCTGACCTCGTGCTTCCTTTCACGACATGCGTTCGAATCGGAGCTGCTTCAAAATCCACGTCAGTGTTACTCTGACATCGTTAGAAGCTCGAAATCATGAAAACAGGAAATTAGTTTAAAGTGATTTGTTTTGTGGTTTAGTGGTGAGGACATAGTTTCTGCTTGGCTGCTAAAACAACCGACATGGTTCTTCAGAGAAAAGGCAGGAAGCCGGCAAGCCAAGATAAAATGTCCGAAGGGCAAAGATAATTCAGAGGAAGAAGAAAAAAATCTAGAATTCCTGAATTAATTACGATTGTGCCTGCCACATGATGCAATCAGCTGTGGAGGTCATCTTGAATTTACAAAATGGCCAATGAGCACTCAAGAGTATGTGTTGGGGATCACCGTCAGTGACTACCACACCTGGTTTTAGCTTAGCATCTCTAAAATTGACTGACACTTTAGTGTTTGGCCAAGGCGACTGTGATGTCCATCTTGAATTTTAAACAAAGAACTGACATTTATTAGTGTTCAGAGCATGTGTTGGGATTACCATCAGCTACTACCAAAAAAAGCAAAGAGTAGTAAAATGTTAGCTAAAAGATCTAAATCCTAGCTTAAAGCTAAAATAGTCAAAAGCTAAATAAAGTAAAACGGTAGCTGAAAGTAGAAAATGGATATCTAAAAGCAGTAAAGGGCTATAACTCTGAAGTAATAAAAGGATAGCTAAATTCTAGAAGCTGGAAAAGGTTGCTCAAAGCTAAAAGCAGCCAAAGGCTAGCCAAAAGCTACATATAGAGAAAAAGTGACTAGAAGTTAAAAGTAGCAAAGGCTAACTAATAACAACAAAATGCCATCTAAAAACAGCAAAAGTCC